TCAGACGCACACACACACGCACACACACACACAGCGCACCCGAACAGGCTCGTATCAAAGTGTAGCATGCATTGGGACAGACAGAGCAGAACAAGTTAATTTGTACAGTGCCAAGAAACACTAATTTCACTGAGCATTTGTAAATTCCCACCATGGTAGGAAAAACACGGTGCCAGTGTGAACAACAGCTCAGAGCGCTGACAGGCCGACAGCTACACGTACTGGCGTGCACGTACGGCTGCCGCGCGGCGGTTTGGCTGTGGAGATTAAAAGGGAATAAAAAGTTGATTATTAATTAGACAGAACAGCTAAGTTGCTGCAGCTGAAATATGTAAATAAATAAAGACCTTCTGAATGGGACAAAGGGAACGTAGCACTTGTGTTTGATTTGTTTTAAAGGCAGAAAATATGTCATACTGTTACACAGTAAACTATTTAAAATATTAAATCTCAAAGTCATGTAAAGTAGTTATACAAAATGTAATTTTACTTATGATATCCTTTTTATTTTCAGATCGTTTCCAATGTCCAACAGCATCAATTTCACACTGTACTTCACACAGTGTTTGAATGTATTACTAGAATATTTTTTGTTTTCTTTGCTAAATCTTTTTGCTTTTTCTTTTTGAAATCTTTCCTTTCTTTATATAGTCTTTCAGAAGCACTCATCTCAGGATTTTAATAATCTTTTAGTTGGTGACTGGCTTTCGTTGCTCCTAAAATATTTCATCATCACTCAGGATGAAGTCACTGGGGGCTCACCTTTTAATGGTTAAAGTTGTATGTGACTGACAGAACAACGTTTATTAATCTTGCAGATTTTTCTCTTGTGGAGTTCCCCATGGCTCAATTACAGGCCTCCTTTAGTTTTCACCTTACGTGCACCCTTAAGGCTCCATAAATAAAAACGTGTTTCATTACTATTCTAAACAAATGGTCTTGAAACTTGGCTGGTTTTCCCTCTATCTGAGCTTTTAAACATTCATACACATTTCTTTTAAATAAATAAACAATAAAACTAGAAAACGAAATTTGGTTTTATCTATTTCTTTTGTAATTTCTTCTTCTGCAGACTTGAAAAAATACAAAAAAAGCATCTATCACCTATTCCAGTGTTATTAGGCAAAACATTCGACTGCAGCTGATTTCAACTCAAGGGTATTCCAGCACTTTCTGTGGTGACTGGGTTCTAGTTTGTTCTACAATTTATCACTCGCTTTTACTTTGGGTTTTTTTTGTTTCGTTTGTTTTTTTTTATTTCCATATGTTCTAGCTTTAGCCTTTTTTCTGCTGTCTGATAAATCCTTGTGACCTTTATGGTTGTTGGAGAGTCTCTAAATGAGACCTGCAAATGGTTTATAAATCCAGATCTCAGGCCAACGTCTTCCTCCTCCTCCTCAGCTGCGACCTACTGGCAGAAAACTTAGTGACCTCCTTTATTGCCCTTCTAACTATAACTAATGGTTTTAGTTGCAATCAATATTTCTATTTTTACAGTAGAGGTTCATTAAATCCGTAGGCCATTACACACCACCTCTCCGATCCAGTTTTTGTCCAGTTCTCACACTGTGGTCTTGTAAAAATAAGTTAATTAACCACATGCCATAGCAGTTTGGTTGAGCTTTAACACGACTCTGACCACATGGTGCTTTTTGGTGTTATGAATTGTTGGCATTTAACAAACGCAGCATCGCAAATATAAAATCCTGACCTGTTAAGAATGACAGATAGTCTGTGGCAGCCGGTGCACTTTTGACCCTTTCCTATTTACTGATCTTCAGATGTATTCATCTGGGTTAATTGGGCTTCCACTTCAAAACTGTAATAACATCAGTTCACTTGAGAGTGAATGTGTGCATACTGTAAGTGATTGTGTGCGAGTGGTGGTCTATACGCGCTCTGTTTTCTCCGCTGTCCCAGATACGGCCAAGTTTGATCTACTGGATGCAGAGTTACCCCATTTAAATAACAAGCAGCTGCTACTGCTGCTCTCTCCCTGTGGGACACGGTCAACCTCAGCTTCTTTAAGGTCAGGAATCATCTGCCCAGCTCTGGTTGAGTTATAAAAACCCTATTTATTTTACACTTTGGTGTTCTCTTTGTGTACAGCGCTTCTCCACATTCCTCTAGCTGAGATTGGGTCTGTCAAAGTGAGGAAAAGAGCAGACGATCTGTAACACAGGACGTCAACGGCTCCATCTCTCTACTCAAGAAAACACCCTACATATGAGGAGAGGAAATATATATATATATATATATATGTGTGTGTGTGTGTGTAAAATGTAACAAAATGCACCTATAGTTTTATCAAGTTTGAAATAAAACACAGATGAATTTTTTCACACAATAAAGGCATACAAAAAAAAAAAATTAAAATCAAAAGATGATATTTTAATAAATACATTTTTTCACACAATAAAGGCATGCAAAAAAAATTTTAAATCAAAAGATGATATTTTAATAAATAAATAAATGCAGGATATATATAAATATATTGGCGCGGCCAAAAAAGTTTGGGAACTGCCGTCTTACTGCATCCTGACATCGAAAAAAAAGAATATATAATTAAGACGAGGACTAAGAGAGAGAGCAGCTCAGTTTGTAACTCCATCTTACAGTCATGTCTGGACTAAAACAGCCTGATGATGTATAGTTAACAGGGACGGCTGTTTGTCTCTTCACAACAATGTCCTTCATCCATCACAATAATGGCAGGATGTCGATTCCATTCGTAACTGTCACGCACCGGTGCACAAACAAATACATCGTCTCTAAATCACTCACTGACTGTACGGTGTATTTTGATCGGAGACGCCGCTGTTATAATTTGTAACACGGGCGTGAGCTTCCAAGGCCACGGAGCCAAACAGATCTGTCACCACGAGGTAATTCACAAGGGCCTGGACCCCAGCGTGACACACAGGCACAGGGAGACAGAGACAGGTGCACGAGGTGACACTGATTATAGGAAAAGACAGAGCAGATGTGACAACTGAAGCCACGTTCACCAATCAATTAAAACATCTTCAGTCTGAATTATAATTACATGAGGATCAGGTTTGTTAGTTAGTTCAGTTGTTAGTTGGGGTTTTTATATTGTTTTTTCTTTACCGCAAGAACTTGGGTAAAAACTTGTGTAAGTTTGAAATTCGCCAGCTGAATATAAAGTAGCCGCGGTTCTGAAACCACCGTCGCTCGCTGTTAAATTCAGGTTTCTGAGAAGCAGAATTATTATCAGAGAATTATTTTGCGGATCAGGGAACATTTCAAATCTGGTTCCTGGTGTCACAGAGGTTCAATAAGTGTCCAGCATAATCCAAACTTTTGCATTAAATTTCATCATACTGTCCTTCTGTTCTTCTGCCCCGCGTCAATACTACATGCAGCACAAGGAAGAACAAAGGAATAATCTGCAGAAAAAGTATTAAAAAAAAGATCTTTTTACCTATGTTTCTGTTACTTGTCTGCACAGCTAGGTCAAAGGTTAGTCAATATTATAATTTGGTTAATGACGACACTGTTCCTTAAAAACGTCAAGTTCAAATATTTTAACTTTTATTACTTTTACAAATGGAAACGACCGAAATTAAAACAATAAGGGCCAGATTTAGCCAAACCAAAACTGCTCTTACACATCAACTGAATTAGCAGTTAAACCACCAGCTCCCTCCCTCCAGTGTCAACTTTTCAATAGGCCTAATAACATGGTAACACCACTGCTGCTGTAAAGGCAACTCTTGGAATCATATGTGTAAAAAAAAAAAAGACAAGGTTATAATGAAGACCCTGCTGTTGCCATTGTCATCCTGTCCTTGTGTGTAAAAATCATGCACGGTATAATAATGGAGAGGCACGGAAGTGACAGGTATTCATGGGGGGAGAGGAACCGGGGGAGGGAGAGGAGAGGAGCCGGTGAGTCATGTCTACACATGAACATAACCTCAGTCTTCCACGATGAAAAGCAAGCAAACAAGAGCAACACAACTGCTGGAACTTCAACGCTGGTGTGAAAAATAATAACCTTCCCTTAAAAATGAACTTTACCTTGAGGTCTTTTATTACACTGAGACAAAACTACTGTAAGTACAGAAATAAAGACTCCAGGTGAGACAACGTCTACATTTACTCTATTACTACAAATAGATATTTTCAGAACTGGATTTCCAAGGTTATTTA